ATGAAATGGTACAAGATTGGCCCCAGAGAGACTCTGCTGTTCTGTGTGCCAATGTGAAACTTGGGAAGTGGTGTTTGCGTGACTGCAGTGATGCATGTTCTTGTGTGTGTGCGTGCGTGCGCGTGCGTGAGAGAGCGTGGGCGTGTGTAAGAGCGTGTGTGCCTATGGGGTCAAAAGGAGTGGAGCTCCCCAGACTCCAGAGTCTTGGCGGAGCTCCACTCTTTCTTTCTTTCTTTCTTTCGTTGGCTCTCTCTCCCTTCTTTTTTCTGTGGTCTTGTGTTGTTTGGTGGTTTTTGTGATGAAAAACAATTGTATATCTGTCTGTTACATATCATGTATGTATCTGAGGTGCAAAATATTTAAATACACATTCTGTTCTTGCCATTGGTAATTCTGTCTGGGTAACTGCTTCTTTAAGAACCTAATGAGGTTTGGTGCGTGTGTGTGCGTGTGTGTGTGTGTGTTTTAGAGCCTCCGTGAGTACGGGGCTTTGCTCAGGCTGTCTGGGACTGTGAGCGAGGAGAGTTCAGTCAAGGACACAATTCGACAGGGACTCAAAGGGAGGGGAGCCGAGGAATGGATGGATGGGGGAGGAGAAGGGAGAGAAAAAAAGGAGAAAGAGCATGAGAGGATGTGTTGGAGGGGGAAGAAAGAAACCAGACTCAGGAAATCAGCAAAGAGTGTCGGAGAGGTTCTGAAGCCATTCAAACAAAATGCACAAAAATGTAGTGTTGCAAGATTCTTCAACCAAATAAGGGAATGGAGTGAAGGAGGGTGACGGCTGCTGGCTCCACAGGGCCGTCAGAAATGCTCCTAAACACATGGAATCACCGGGAATCATGGGATACTACAGAAAAGCGGGGCCTGTTTGTGTGTGCGTGCTGCTCATCATGACTTGGAGCCAAAAATCAGTTCAAACCTTCACATTTTGTAAACACGTGTTGTGAAGGCACAAGACTGCCCCCGCCCCCCGAGTTTTTACAAACTTAAACTGACCTAAATCTTACGTAAGAATGTGGCTAACATTCAGGTCAGTTTGAGCTAAGACTTAGTTATCTGTTAGGTAGCTTAATGCTAACTAAAATGGATTGCTGTGCCGTGTGCAGTCGTTGTTTTAAACCTATTTAAGTTAGCTTATTTTTGCAGTGTTGTTTTAAACTCACCTGTCCTCAGTAATGTGTTATTTCATCTTAATTACATACAACTCGTTAAGCTTTTGAGATTAGTTTTTCTGAGGTGTCTTGATGAAATGTCCGGCTAATTTTTGAGTTATTTTCTGTTTCTGTGAAGGCTTTTCTCATTCCTCTTTCTTTTTTAAAATTTGGCTTATATATTGCAACGTTTTAGACTTTGGTCTAAAAAGTAATATCAGTTATTTGCTGTTAATCTCGTTGATGACTCTCAACTCATCTGTAATCAACAGTTACAGTTAGATGCCGACAGCGCTGTTGTTGTGTGCTAAAGAAGTCCAGCTGCAGCTGTGCATTTTGCACCAAGGCGTCATTTCAATGGTCTGTAGAGTCGACCTAATCATCAACGATCGCCATCAGGAGAATTCTGTCGCCAGAGTCGGATCATTTTGACGTCCAGTTCAAATTCCTGCGGCTCTGGGTTCCTGATTTATCCAATTTCATAAAAAACATTTAAATATGAAGTCCCCACAACGCATGAAATCCGTGACATGTGTGTGTGTGTGTGTGTGTGAGTGTGTGACAGCCACACAGAGAGAAAGCAGATGGAGAAGTTAACTGGTTGCATATTGTGTACAGTTTGTCAACAGGCAGATTAAATAGACTCCGACAAGTCCAGGGGAAATGTGTTTGCTGTTAAATTCCACTGTATGGTGAAAAGAGACGCTCGCTGTCAACGACACCACATGACAGGCAGCGAGGAGTAAGAGGGGAGGGGAGGAAAGGAGGCAGGGAGGGAGGAGGGAGGAGGGAGGACGCAGAGCAAAGACAACTCTCTGCAACACTTCACTTTATTACAGGAGAAGCTTCCATTCACACGCAAATGACCATTTTCTTTCCCGCTCTTTTAATATATTCTGAGCAAATGTAATGACACGAACCCTATCTTTATTCAGTGGCAGCAAAAAATTATTCCGGTCTTTTCTTCACTTAAAAGTATGGACGCTTTGTTAAAAGTGAGCCAGCTGCATTCAAAAGCAGATCCTCAGTAACATGACTTTAGTGATATAATCAAAGAGCCATTTAGTGGTTCATCATGCAGCAGAACGCCCCCTGTCTGTTATGAATATTATGCATATAATGCATATTTTAAATAATAACAATCAGCATTGGAATGCAGACATCAATACAATATATGTACAATTAATAATATATACAGTATATATTATATATATAATGTATTACTAATATAAACTGTTGTGTTCAACCCAGCTTGGTTAGACCTGGATGTCAACACTGCCTGAAATGCAGCCCTAAACATTTACAGAGTTTTGTGTGTTCCCCACAGAAGTTTAATGAAGGACTTTGTCGTGGCCTCAGCTGACAAACTGACGACAACTCAGACAAACACAGTGAGTTACAGTTCATCAAGTTTTGGGTTTTTTTCTCCTGTTCTTATCCACTTTCTTCAGATGTATAATCCTTGCACACGTGGTGATATAAATTCTAGAAGGCTACTAAATGAGATTTTAATCACATTTTTCAATAATATTTATGCCAATGAAACTGATGAATTTACCAATAGACTGGATAGAGATAAACTCAGAAGGTTCTACAAGAACCAAATATTAGTTTTTTGTTGTTTTTTTTTTTGTCTTACTGCTAGAGAAGAGTTTGGAAAACATTAAAGACAGACTTGGCTCAGTACTTACTGTACACACAACTGTTTGATAATTAATTCAAATGAACAGCACATGTTGGTGAATACCAGGCAAACAACAGCAGAGAACAGAGATGGAAGTTTAGCTGCAGGACTAAACGTTCTCAGTGCAGGTGTGTCTGTGTTTATTCAGCCGTCGCTGCACAGACCAACACTTTTCTGCTTTAAAGTTGTGACGCAGAAAAGAAAACCCCAGCATGCACCTAGACGAGTGCTGCATTAAATAAACATCTAAATAACAGGGAAGGACAATAGTTTCAGAACTCGTTTCAGAAAAAGTGACAATAATTATGAATTAAATCAGACTGACAAAGGAAGGTTAAAACAAACCTAGTGATAAAAGTGTATAACACTTTATAACATAGAATAAACCCATATATATACATATGCAGTAATAAAAATTAAAAAATAAATAAGACAAGTTATAATCCTAACTTAAATCTTCAGAACATTTTTTTCTCAAGATGAAGGATAAGGAATGTACCGTGCATTATTAACAAATACTGTTAAGCCAGAGATCTGAGAATTATGGTTCAATCCAGAACTTTTTATGAGGCAGTAGATTTTAATGAATATCTATCTATCTCCCTCCTCCTCCTCCTCCTTCCTTTTGATATCTGGAGCGACACAAAACACTTTTTTCTTGCCTTTTCTTTGTTAAATGATTGTTAATAAAGAGCAGAATTCCACCGGGGATTCTCAGGGTAACATTTTAGGTTTATGATCTAAATAAAACTGCGGCCATCGAGTCACTACCAGGTCACATCTGACCCAGGAATGTGCTTCATCATCGCAGCTCCCCCCTGGGGGCATGTAAGGAGGGGGAGGAGCAGCGGGAGGAGGGGGAAGTCTCAGCTGGGACTTTCCTTCCTAGCCTGCAGGGAGAAAAGTTTGGATGACTGGGCACAGAGCCGGAGATGTTCACCGGTGCTTCCAGGGTGGAGAATGCGGAGCTGGAGGAGCAGCAGGCAGCTGTCCCTCCGCTCGGGGGCCCTCCTCCTGCTGCTGCTGCTCGGTCCTCCGCTGCTCGTCGCTCTGCAGCTGATCGTCATCGGTCCACGGTTACCGAGAACCGCGGCGCTAGGCACCGGGGAACGGGAGGGAGCCGTGGCCTTCTCCGTGATCAGCATTGAACCAGAGAGGAGCTCACAACGTTGGGGACCGGCGTCAGTGGGACCGCGTCTGCAGGAGGAGGAGGAGATGGAGAAAGGTGGAGGGAGGAGGGAGCAGATAGGAGCATATGAAGATGAGAAAGAAATTCACCAGGTAGGAGAACGGTAATAGGAATTTACCTGCATTAATGCTGGACTTAAAAAAAAGTTTTATCACAAAATATATGTATATTATTTTAAAACAAAATCACGTGACACAATGTCAAGTGATTCTAATCCGGTGGAAATGAGGTTTGATGTTGCTGAGGACATGTTTAGAACAGAACGGTCGTCCACCTACTGTACATTTCACTAATGGACAGGAGAGACATGTAACCCACAGAACACCGCCCCCACTGTGGACCTCAGAGGTACAGCATGGCGCTGTGTGGATCCACAACTGTAATTCTGGAGATTAGGAAAGAATTATAAACAAAACTAAGATGCCAATGGGCGGGGCTTAAGGAGGAAACTCCAATCAGCTAGCAGCAGAAGTGGGTCTAGTTGTTTGACGACAACAGTACAAAGAAACTTCTATTTGAACAGTGAACAGTGGGCCACACAGGCACCGCTGACAAAGGTAAAAAGGGTCGCACGAAACACAAGGCCACGTCAACACTACTGCCTTTTGTCTTAAATGAAGCTAAATGTTTCTAACAATCCTGTCCTCCTCACTGAGTGCCTCTGTTTTCATCTGAAGACAAGGCTGTGTTTTAGTTTAAATTGGAAGAATCAAGTGAAAAAAACAATGGACGTGTGCCGTTTTCCCAAATCCTCATCTTGAGCTGGCAAAATGTTGTTAGTTGAATATTTGGTCAAACAGTTGAAATCTGTTTTTCTTTTTTATTGATGTTCTTCTCACTGACAACCTGCTTCTCAGTGAGAACAAACCGTTTTGTCTTGCAGTTCTTCAGGGGACAGGAAGTCAGCCCTGTGTCAGTCAGAACCTCACGTTTCTACACTTAAAAAAACAACCTAGAATAGACTTTAAACTACTTTGTAAACACACTAAACAGAATCTGTGGTGAAGTCACCAGGTTGGTGATCGGTCAGAAACCAGATGCCGATGTTTCCTCATTCATCGTGTCCATTAGGCCGCCGCAGCGTTGACACAACGTTGACACGACAGTGTGAATTATTACAGACGTGACGGAACAGGTGAGCCAGGAGTTCAGAGCAGCACTGACCTCACATCAGACATCAGACAGAGAGGGGTGACAGCTGTTCTTCCCGTACAAAGCACTGAGCCTTCACCTGTGTTTGAGCGCCGCAGCGTCTGTCCCTCCTTTACCTCACACTCCTCACCCCCTCTCTTTTATTCTCTTTTTTCTCCCTCACTGTCTCTTTCTTTGCCCAAGGCTAAACTCTCTGACTCATTCTGTGAATCATCACCACTCCCCACCTCCTCCCCAATCAAGTTACCATGGTGACCACAGGGTTCAGTGTTTATGTGTGTGTGTGTGTGATAGGGGGTGGGGGTTTCTTTGGTTTTGTGTGTGTTGTATGTTACAATGCCTTAGGCCAATGTCCTGGCAGCAGGGAAGGGGTCAGAGGTCGTGACCTGACTCCTCAGTCCTCATACCTGGGGGCAGGAGGTGCGGGCCAACTCACGCTCGTGACAGGAATTTTTTATTTTTCCGACCTACTTTCAGAGGATCATGTCCGTCAATTAAAGCCTTAACATTTAGTTAGCTGAGTGATGGCTAATCGATGGCTAACTTTGTCCACGTCTATTTATATGAGAAGTTGAAAGTCATTTGAATTTGATTTCCAAAATTTAAAAATCATGTTGAATCCACAAACATCTCACATGTTTTCTCTTGGTCCACAGTGAACTGCGTCATCTTTGCCTTTGGATGTGTGTAATATGTACGTCTGTGTTGCCAGGTTGGATCCAGAGATCTGGAGGTACAGCCGTGGGCGACCGGCAGGCCGTCATTCACTGCAGAACTGGGTCGTCTTATTGCATACATCACCACTCCACAAGTAAGTTTGGGAACCTATAGAGAAGTCATGGAGAAGTCAGGTACCACACAGACGCAGCCTAATGCGGCGGTGCTCGACTTTTTGGCGACTACACCTTATGGATGTTTATCTTGATAACAGGGCAGTATGAACGTTATCGCTCCCCCTTATCCCGTGACCCATTGGCAGGGACCTGATCTTTAAATTGGCCATCAGCGGTCCATTACACACAACTCTCCTGGATGGTCCCGGGCTAGAATCTGAAATCATCAATGACCTGTAGCCAGGAGTTAAAGCTTGCCAAGACGCAACAGTAATCAATAAACTCTCACTTTCTCAACCACTACTCTCCAGTCCACTTCTTCACTTTAACAACTGCAGAATTCCAATGTGGAGCCTAAAACAGCAGTGATATGATCAGTCAGGCGCTGTCAATGTGCTGGCAGCACAAGCCTGCCAAATCTGGAGAGAGTAAAGCTTTTCTGTTCCAGACTGGAAACTCCCCAAACAAAAGTAAAATCTAATACCACTGCACCAAGTGCTGAGAAAACAGCATGGATAAATTGTATATCTACTTAAAAGAATACTGATTTATTGTGAAGATTTGGGTGGGTAATTAATCAGCCTGTCTTAAAGTGAAACCACTTTCTGGTTTAATGAGAAAATCTTTGAGGATTTGGGTAAAAAGTGTCTTTGTTTCATTGTTTTAGTTGAACTTTCTACCTGTGTCATCCCCAGTTGAAGTGTTCCAGGGTCATACGTCCTGCAGAGTCTCAGGCGTCGGCGCCTCCTGCAGCATCGGCCCAGTGGCTGCTGTGTGCTGAGGATTGGCTTCTTCCTGCTGCAGATGGACCGTGTGTTGCATACTCCTTCAGGTTTGTACATACCAGGGTCGAGTAGAAGGATTTAGTTGGACAAAAATAGATACGCATAACAAGTTACTACTGCAAACCAGTGTAAAAGGCTAACTCATATTAACATCGTCTTCTATATAATTATGTCTAGAAAATTATTATTAATTTCTGTAGGAGCTGGACTAAGGAAATGTTACAGACTGTGTGTGCGCCATTATCTTGCAGTATTAAATGTTTTCTAAACTTTAAACTTGTTTTTTTCTCTCTCTCGTCATCCTCTGTCTAGCATGGATGGAAGAGATGCAGACTTTTTAAAGACTGTGTCTATGCTGGGATGTGAAGTTCACAGGTTTGATCCCAGCAACCCCAACGCATCTGCTGGTCACCTTGGCAACAGTTTAGATGGTAACCATGGCGACCGAGGTGTGGTAAACCAGCACAAGATGTGGCTGGAGTGGCGTGCTCCCAGGAAGCACAAGGCCAGAGGCAACCTGGGGAGTGTGTCCCAAACACTTTCAGACATCATGGCAGCTCTGGGACATCCCACTGTAAGACACACACACACACACATACAGAACAACTCTTGTGTGTATTTGTCTACAGAAATGTAAAGAAAAAAAATACACTTAAAGAAGCTCGCTTACTTTGTGTCTCCATGGCAACTGGGCTTTTCGCCATTTCTGGCTGCCATGGTAACAGTTTTAGTGAGCGAATCGCCGAGTGGCTCAGTTACATCCTGCAGCCACAAGAGGGAACTGCATGTCCACAGTTTGACTACATGTTGTTTAGGTTATCCCACAACTTCCAATATTTCAGTAAAAAAAATACAACTTATAATTGGCAACACTGCCACAAGGTGGTGGTAGTGGGTGGTTTTTTTGTTTTGTTTTTTTGCATGTTTTCCCACTATTTTACTGGCTTCCACTTAGTCCAACGACATGTACACTGGGGCTTAGGTTAATTGAAGCTGATGAAAAGACAATGGAAGAGAACACACTCTGTGTGGTTGTTTGTTTCCTTCATTTGATGAATGCTTGATTAGGTTTGAACCACTGATCATTCTTATAACCATGGCAGAGAAATTGTTTTTGTTGTTGTTGTTGTTGTTATTCAGAATATGGAAATGGCTGTGGAACAGTGGGTAGAGAGTTCCTGTTCTTTAGGCAGCCCAAGCTGAGCCAATTTCTGGCTTTTCTTGAGTCTCTGGGTGAGACACCAAACATTACACTCCAGTCACGTCGTGCCAGTTCTGTTAAAAAAAAAGGAATGGTTGTGATGGAAACAGATAACTGCTACAGAGTTCTCCAGAGAAGCAAAAAAGGTGATTTTCTCGGTGACCCGAATATGAACAATAGGTTTGCCAAAATAGCTGTTGTTCAATGGGCAATCATCCCACCAGGTCAGAGATTTGGATGCAGCAATGTGCCGGTGCGTGTCTGAGCAGGACTTCATCTGGAGTTGTTCATGACACCTGTGCATGTTGCTGATGGAAAGAGTCACGTCAGGAGGCAAATCCAACACAACAACATGTGTCATAAATAAATCTCATCGATGTTTATCCTGCCGTCCACCTCCGATTGTTCTGTTTTTGTTTACAGGTTAATTTCGTGTACGCTGACCTGCTCAGTGTCGAGTGGCGAGTTTTCCAGAACTGGATCGAGTCAGGAACCCTACAGAGTGTCCATCATCTGGTTGCCACAGTTCATCTACAGTGGGCAGGGTTTGAAGTAGGAGGAACGAACGAGGAAGTTCTCCGCTATTGGTTCAGCGTCCTCCAGGGCCTCCAGGATTCTGGTTTGAAGCTCGTCCACAGCTCGGCCGGATTTGGCAGCAGCGTCCTCAAACAGGCAGTGAATAATGCTCACAGCTCTTACACACTCAGCTGGGTCAACACGAGACACTGACACTCAGACGCGAATGGCAACGGACAAACACACATGACTGAGACACTAAGCCTCAAACTAAAACAAGAGTGATCTTGAGTTTGTAGAATTAACTTTCCATCGCTCACTTTGGTCCTATTCTTTTATGGCAAGACACCTCCCTCTAGTGGATTTGAAGGGATCTTTGTGCATATTTTCTCAGTTTATTAGGTGGATCCTGCTGTATCTTGAAGGTAAATTTATTTGAAGCATTTTGTGCTCAGTTGTCTTCTGACGTGCAATATTTGTTTACACTGAAACAAGGCTTTAAATATATGGTACCATATAATGTTTTTCTTTTTATACCAAAAAGATGAATTGCCATAATTCATATCTTGTTCTATTTAAGATTTTTTTTAGAAATTCAGTCTCCACCTAAATCAAACTGAACACAGATAATATTGGCTATTTTTGTAATGAATGCAGGTTATTACGTGGTTTATTTTACCTGTTTTCCTCAATATTTTTACTAAGCTGACCCATATTATAAAACAATAATATTTATTAACCCTCAAAAACAACATAAATAGACCACAGTAAACGTTTTTCTACGGCCATTAAAGGTTGTGTTTGACATGCTTTACTTTTTACTTTTTTATGTTGTGTACTGAGTGACATGGAGTCCTGACAAAGAGAATTCCCTGTTTTCTGTTTCTCTGCCAAGGGTTTTATTGTGACACCATGTAAATCCTGCTCTACAATTTCCTAACGCATATCTCCACTGAAAACCGAACAGCACGAGCACCTCCTGCTGGACATAATGTAAAACTAATATTTTGTTAAATCAAGATAAAGCAGTAAACATTATAAATACCAACCAACGCACATTTAAAATCTGAATAAACATAATCTGCGTTTACCACCACCACTAAGAAAAAAAGTAATTTGAATTGCTAAACTTATTACAGTAATCTTTATTTGTTGTTTGTCATTTTCAGGTCATTTATGTTCAAATTAATCATAAAAAAATATTATTCGTCTTTATTTGTTATATAAAGCTCAAAATAAGTTGACCACCATGGAGGTACAGTTATTTACTTTAAAATAACTACTTTAAACATTCTCCGAACCCCTGTAATTCCCTCGCGTACCACTCGGGGTCTTTGTGCCTCTGTTGGGAAGAACACTTCCAGTGTAAAGTTTATTAAACTGAAAACAGAAACATAAATCCCATTAAATTATTTAAACAATCTGTTTCAGTATATTAGCTAATTTTAACTATTTTCACATCTTGCCTCTAAAACTTAAATGATTAAATATTAGAGTTGAGACGAGGGAACAATGGATGACTTCTTTTTATATCTCCCCCATGCCTACTTGCAGAAATCTTGTATGTTTTATTCGATACTGACCTAATTAGTGTAATAATTCGTAACAAGTGACATTTACGGGCCATTTTATAACTTTTCTTTCAGTTAGTTTACTTTTCGTGCCACTCATTCCTCGGACTCGTTCCAACTCGCTGGAAAACGTTCGTTGGAATGCATTGCAGCCCCCGCCCTACGTTACGCAAATTACGTACACATGTTTGCCACCAGTATGGGCGGATTTGCGCTCTTTACGTTGAATTTTCCACATCCTGTATTTGACAAAAAAGATTGACAAGCATGAGACCCAATCGTCATTGAGAAACGTGGTCGTACATCCAATCAGACGTTCACAATCCCGGGACCCGGATGCCTCGCTGTTCTGCTTTAGTGTACCGCTCACAATTTTGTGAAACTCTTCACACAACTACAAACAACAGTGTAAGAGCGAACACACACGCCACCTTTTCACGGTGAGTACAGTAAAATTGTGTAATTTGTTGTTATGGTATAATTTGTTGTTATGCGAAAAACGTTACAACAAAAGAATTGGGCTGTTTCTTCGAGATAAGTAGCGCCTACAAGTTACTTCCTGTTCTGACAAGGCCGAGATCCCAACTAAACGACTTTAGCTCACAGCTAATGTTTTGGCTGTCAACGTGTAACGACTTAAAGTCAACTTTTCCTCTTCATTATTTTATTTTCCCATGAATTTGGCAACATTTGAAAAAAATTAAAAAAGTAAAACAGGTTTGTAGCGATAATTTACTGTTGTCGGTGTGACACAATGTTTCAGTGTTTTACTCTCTGTCGAGCATTTCACACTATCAACACTATTTTTTTATATCATGGCCAGGTCCGACTTACATGGGGAAACAAATGCAGTTCGTTGTTGTTGAACATACACAAAACATAGTTCTTGTCTAATCAGTGCAAGTAGTACAAGTATTTGAACCAAACGGTTCTGCCGTTACTTGCCAAATGTCAGGAGATCGTACGTGAACATAGAAAAGGTTTAATCAATAAACCAAAATGGGGATTAGAGAGCAAGGAAGAATATATTTACATCGCTATTGTAAGTAAGTACAAGGCACCGGCCTGGCAAAGATAGGCAAAAAGTGGACAGTAGACATTCAGTGGGGAGTGGCACTGACACAGATAATTGTAACAAATGTAACAGAATTATCATAGTTTATCGAGGTTTAATTTCTGTAAGGATCATGATTTTAACATACTATAACATGTAGAAAACTTTTTAGGGCCTTTACCATGCCTCACTGCATTGCACACTGTCATCATCAATCGGAGGAGCTAGTTAAGTAACAGGCTCCTCCTCTCAAAAAGCAGAACCAACAGACTTAAATATTCCTATATACTTAAATACATTAATAATTTTCCAGTCGGAATTTCACGAAATTTCAGTCGATCCACAGAATGAGCAGCATAGTGGTGAAAACAACCCACATTATGTCAAAT